AAAAAGACCCTAAAGACTGCCCAACAGCAGATTCGACAGCCCAAAAAATAAAAAAATCCTGAAGATTGCCTGCTAACAGGTTCAACAGCCCAAAAAATAAAAATTGACCAAGTCAGAAAAAAACCACCCATCAACAAAAATAACCTTTACCACCCTCTTCCCCCCTACGAATCCTCATGGACTGATTTAACAGACCCAGATGTTAAACCCAGACTCCAAAAACTTCTGAAGATTCCCAGGTAAATCCCCTTCCCATTTCACCGCCAGCGCCACCATCTGTGGTGCCACGTCCCACAGCCATTGAACAGCTCTGTAATCTCAGAGATAATGGGAGTTATTTCCCCCAGGATCCTCAGCCACAATGGCCTCAGGACCCAAAAACCCCACCTATAGAAGTTTTCCCTATTAACCTACAAATAACAAGACAACGTCCACTGGCTTGGTACCCCCTCCCAGCAGCAGACTTAAAAGAACTACGCCAAGCTGTCTGTGAGGATGGGATCCGTGCTCCATGGACCAAATCTATACTACAAACCTTTAATACTAACATCCTAACCCCCCAGGACTGGAGAGATATTTGTAGATCCACTCTCCCCAGTCCATTATTTGTACAGTGGGAGGCTTTATTTAGAGATGAATGCCTAATGCAGGCTAAAAGAAATGACACTCATAACAGCTAAGACCCCAAAGGACAAGATCCACCACCTGGATTTATAGATTGTAATTATGACCAACTGTTCGGTCAGGGCAATTTTTCCACAGGAATCCAGCAGGCTGTAATTCCTGCCAGCTGTTTTGAACAGGTCCACTTATGTGCACTGTGCACTACGGACCGCCTAAGTCCCTTGTCCACAGGGCCTGGAGAGACCTCTTCATTAACCTTCCTAAAGCAGAAACCAACTGAAACCCTCCCAGACTTTATACTAAGAATACAGGCCAGTTTAGATAGAAAAATAACAAGACCCTACAGCCAAAGCAATGCTTTTAAACAACCTTGTCTGGGAAGGGATGACCCTTGAGCACAGACAAGCATAGCCTAAGTCCCTTGTCCACAGGGCCTGGAGAGACCTCTTCATTAACCTTCCTAAAGCAGAAACCAACTGAAACCCTCCCAGACTTTATACTAAGAATACAGGCCAGTTTAGATAGAAAAATAACAAGACCCTACAGCCAAAGCAATGCTTTTAAACAACCTTGTCTGGGAAGGGATGACCCTTGAGCACAGACAAGCATACCAGGGACTAAAAAAATGAACATTACCACAAGTGGATTGTGGCCACCCATGACATTGGGACTGCCACATACCAGGCCTCCTCCCTTGCCCCAGCCTTTGCCCCAGCTGCAACCCAACCCAACTCAAAATGTTTTAAATGTGGAGAAACCAGACACTGGAAAGAAAATTGCTCAAAAAATGCTTCAGCCAGCCCCCCCCCCCAATACTATGGAGATTTTATGTCAGGGAAACATATCAAGGAAAAAAGTCAAATAATCAGAACCACAGACTGCCCCCTAGTGGGCTGTCAAAAACCCGTAGAAATCATAATATACCCAAATGCTAGCAGATACAAAACTAAGGAATATGTTTGCTTTCCTTTCCGACAGACAGATCCATCATGCCTCAAGGAAGTTGATACCTATGGGGGCTGCCGCTATTTCAATCCCTGTAGGTTGGAGCTAGGATTAACTGAGGGATATCAGGGTATAACAGGAAAGGAAAGATCCATCTACCTAAAGGATAATAAGTATCTCTATGGGAACCATAACTATTCCCTAATATATGTTGCAGATCCATGGGATGATCGCTGGCGTGTCAGAATAACGGGAAAGGTCTACCCAGGTGCATTCTCTAGCTGCCCTACTGCTGACTTTCATATCTCTTGACAGCTTGTACCCACAGCTAAGCCTGTGCTAACTCATCATAATATTATTCTACAGGAAAAACAAACAGAGGACCAGATAAGATCAACTATGTCCTGGAGCCAATACATTCAATATGTTGCTAACTTTCTTCCCTTCACCACCCACCCTAATGCCTCTGTTTCTTTTGTGCATCCAGCAATAGACCTTTACTGACAGCAGTACCAGGTAATACCACCCTTCTTTACCCAGAAACAAAAAAAAGATTTCACCAACTCTCATCTGATGGATATTCCCTTATTCAAACAACTGGCTAACTATCCAATTTGCATTTCCAGCAAGAATAAGCCTATTCTTTACAAATGCCTCACTAACATTACTCTCTCCAGGACAGCATGCGTCACCCCTCCTCTTTTTCTGTGGTGCAAAGGAAAAGCCCAATACTGTGTTAACTCCTCTTTGTCCACCTTTTGTGTACCTGTAATGATTACTCCCCAGGTGTACCTATTCGAGGAAGAAGAGGCTGCCCTCCTCCTTCACACCTGCCAGCAGAGAGAAATCTTCATCCCTCTGCTAGTGGGACTTGGACTTGCCCATCACCTGGCAGGAGACTTTCAAGACAAGCTTGACCAGGCAATGGCATCCACGACTAACAGCCTTGAGTCTCTCCAACAACAAATGAACTCTCTTGCCAGGGTTGTACTCCAGAACAGAAGAGCACTAGACTTAATAACTGCTGAACACTGGGGGACGTGTGTAGTATTGGGAGAGCAATGCTGTTTTTTTGTAAATGAATCAAATGTTGTTGAGACCAATGTCAATACTCTCAAAAAACTTTGTAACGATCTATTTTCAAGATTTCAACCCATCGAACAATTAGGTTGGTTTAGTAACCCCTTGTTTTCATGGCTCCTACCCTTTGTTAGCCCCCTGATCATGCTGTGTGTCATTTTGATGCTTGCTCCCTGTTTCACACAATTTCTTCGCCGACAAATTACTACCATTGCAAAAATTACTACCAAGCAGTCATGGTCCATTATCAAACTTTGGATTCTCCTGAGATAGATGAGTTGACTCTTAAAGCTTGTGATGACACTTCTCCATTGTAAAACAAAATAGGGGGAGATGTTGGGGGGCCCTGTTGCTAAGGTTGTAGTCCTCCATGTCCAGATAGCTCTAAGGGGCTTGGCGGGGGCCTCCTGCTCTCTGCCTGACTTACCTGGAAAGTGCCACCAAGCACGGATGCCTGACCTTATTTGGAACATGACCTTTGGCATAGTTACCTGCAATAAAACTTGCCCCAGGTTTTTTTTATATGATAATTAGGCATTGCCCTATAGACAGATGATAGGATCCCACTACCACATGCAAATAAAGCATACTATGAACACCTATCAGCTGAAGCTTTGGCTGCTGCCTCCACACTACATTTTCCCTGACCCTCACTGAATAAACAGAACTGTATCACTCTCCCCGGAAAGTCTTTTCCATCGTGCTCACTGGCTGTCCTGACCCTGTTCGTTGCTTCTGCTCCCTTTGTCCTTGTGGATCGGTGGCCAACAGCCCTCGAGGGGAGGGAGAGACCCACACTTCCTCTATGCCTCTGATGTGTAGATTTGGTCTTTTCATGGTGTCCCACATTCCTGCATGTTCCATTTCTGTATTTTTTGGTCATTGTTGTTTGTTTCATAATCTTTGCTTGGGCAGTCCAATTCTTCAACTTTATCCTCCAGTGTTGATATTCTGTTTTCCATTTCATTCATTCTAGTGGTGAGGCTTTCTCCTGTTGTTTCAAATTGGCTTATTGAGTTTTTCACTTCCTTCTTTATTTCAGCCTGAGTTTTCTTCAATGTGTCTGGTTTGTGAAGTTTATGAAGTTTATCTCTATCTTTTAGTTCATTGATTTGTTTGATTTGTTTGTGTGTTCTTTACATTCATTTGTGTGTTCTTTAAATTCATTGAATTCCTTGATCGTGTTTATGATTGTTCTTTTAAATTCTGGGTCCTGGGTTATCTCTAGGGGGTTCTCCTTGTAAAACACTTCTATAGGACTGGCAGTGTTTGGTGGGAACATACTGTTTTGGTTTTCCATATTATTTTTTTTCTCTTGTGATTTTGGCATGTGGATTTTTTTGTTGTTTGTGATTCTAGTAGGAAACACAAGCTTTCCTTTGTTGAGTTGAAGTCTGCTTCTGTTTGCATTGTTGGTGTGCCTTGGTTGTTTTCTTATTGGGTATGTAAAGCTGGTTGGTCTGGGTTTCAGGTTCTCTCAGATTTTGGAGGGAACAAAGTCTTCATATCAGCTACTCAGGAACTCGCACAAAGGCCCAAGTCAGGCTCCAGTCAGGTACGCTCAGGCTTCCTTCTAATGTCTAGGCCCCTATTAGTGGGTACTCACAGTACAATTTGGGAAATTTACTAAGGGGAGGCTCAATTTTGGCACTCTCAGGCAGTCTGCTAAGGTCTCAGCCCTTACCCTACTGTAGGGCAGGGAAGCCTAGCCCTGGCAAAGTAGGAGGGGTCTCTCATGATCCCAAATAGGGGGTTGGGCATGATGTGATTTAGGTAAGCTCACCACTATGCAGAGGTTGGATCCAGGAACTTTAAGGTGGTCTGAAGAGGTCTCAGCCCCTACCATAGGTCTAGCCTTGACAAAGTGAGAGGGGTCTCATGAGGCCCCAATGCAGTGGGTTGGGCACGGCACAACTGGGGACGCTCACCACAAGATGATGGCCAGATCCAGGTACTCTCAGGAGGTCTGCTAAGGTCTTCTTACATTTTACTTTTAATTTACAACTTTGATTCATTTACAAATTAAAGTGACTTGAAACTCAAAATGGGCTGGGTATGTAGTTCAGTTGGAGGGTTACTTACCTAGCATGCATGAAGCCCTGAGTTCCATCCCCATCATTGCATAAACCAGGTGTGGTGGTGCACACCTGTAATCTCAGAGTGCATGGTAGGCCCACATTGTACTACTAAATTATACACTCAGCATAAAACACTTGTTGTGGGCTGGGTATGGTAGCACACACCTTTAATCCCAGCACTCAGGAGGCAGATGCAGAAAGATCTCTAGTTCAAGGCCACCCTGGTCTACAAAGTGAGTTCCAGGCCAGCTGGGGGTACAGGGAGACCCCATCTCAAAAAAAAAAACAAAACTCACTTATTATGAAACAGTACTTTCTGTTGGGTTCTGCCTGGTTTATAGCAAGTATTTTTGTTTATCTTTATCAGTAAATGTTTCCATGGTGTACAATGCTTCAACAGAGAATCTTTCTCCAAAAAAAGGTCCAATTCCAGTAATAAGCAACATAGTGTCATTTGCAGATGCTCAACTTGACCTGCCCATTGTGAACACTGATTTCTTCCAAGGTAAAAGTTGATATGTAGACATTGATCTAAACATTGCTTTGCTTTGTTATACTTGAATTGTCTTTATCTGTCTTTTGATTCCTGATGTAAAATAAACTTTATTTTTCTATTATATAAATTTATTTACACACACATGCACACATTTATAGTCCCCAGTATTAAGTTAAAGAGTCTGGGGGAAGAATTAGCAGCCACGTCATAGGGAGTTTCATCAAGTAAATCAGAGACATTAGGCTAGAGACAAAATCAATATGCCTATTCAAATACCTGTAATACTATAGTATGGGAAGGAGAATAGACCTGGTCTGGACTCCAGGACTGCTCCACTGCATCTCATCACTAAATGAACTTGCAAAATTCGTTCTGCTTCCATGATCCTGAACAATTTCTGAGAATTTATGTCTCCAACTGATTGGGTCCTTTGCTCTCAAGCCAGGTGAGGATTCAGTTTCTGCAGAGCTTCAAAGGTCTATGGGGAGCTAGGGAGATGGCTCAGTCAGTAAAGTGCTTGCTTTACAAACAAGGGAGTTTCACCCCCAGAACCCATATTTAAAAAATTAAACTGAGGGGATGGAGAGATGGCTCAGTGATTAAGAACACTGGTTGTTCTTGCAGAAGACCCAGGTTCAAATCCCAGCACCCACGTGTCAGCTAACAACTATCCGTAACTCCAGTCCCAGGGGATCCGACAGCCTCTTCTGATCTCCATGGGCACTGCACGACATGGGTGCAGTTACCTACATGCAGACAATACATGCATACACATAAAATAAAAATAAATAAATTTTTTTAAAAAAAGCTGAGCATAGTAGCACACACTTGTAATCTCAGCACTGGTGAGGCAAAGACAATGGGTCCCTGGGGACTGATGGTCAGCCAACCTAGCCTACTTGGCAAGTTGCAGACCAGTGAGTCACTGTGTCTCAAAAAAAAGAAAAAAGTAGAGGGCACCTGAGGAATTACACCAGATGTTGTCCTCTGGCCTCTATGAGATCAAAAACATAACTAATATAAAGGAAAGTGCATCTCATCTGAGAATGGGAGCATTTTATGAATGATTTCAACTTTCTAAGAATAATTCAAAAATATCAGAAAATAGCTATGAAATTAACAAGGTAGAATACATCCTTTTACAGCTTGCTTACAGCTTGGACTGAGTTGTGCATGAACTGGAGAACTGAGGCTAAATTTTATCAGTTTATGATGCTATTTTATAATTATTGTATGAGATCTTCAATATATGTTTTAATTTATTTTAACAGGTACAGTTTCTTCAGTAACTACAAATGTCAGTATAGATGTAAGTTTTATCATAATTTTTTGACTACTGTCTTTTATCTCTTAAGCAGATTTTATATGCATATATATAAAGTTTAGAAGTATTGTATTTCCCTAACTTTTTTTAATACTTAGTAAATAGTTCTAGTTTCCTGAACAATAAATGTTTTCTCTATAGCTATATACTAAGAGCTAGTTTGAAAATTTAATGCTAAATCTAGAGTTCATATAACTTAGAGATAATTGGTGTTTCCCCCTATGGCTCATATAATAGCTTACTCATTTTACGATGTTCTTACCATAGATGTGTTTTGTGTTTTGATTATTTGGCAACTGTTAAAACAATTGTTATTGGGGCTGGAGAGATGGCTCAGCGGTTAAGAACACTGGTTGTTCTTGCAGAAGACATGGGTTCAAATCCCAGCACCCACATGGCAGCTAACAGCTATCTGTAACTCCAGTCCCAGGGGATCCGACAGCTTCTTCTGTCTTCTGCAGGCATTGTATGACATGGGTGCACTTACCTACATGCAGGCAATACACACATACACATAAAATAATAATAATGAATAAATTTTTTTTTAAAAAACAACAAAAAAAACCCAATTGTTATTTTATCACTTTTGCCCAAAGAGCTCCAAGAGCTTACCAGGTGAATCCGGTAGTGGTGTTGTTAATATTGTAGAACAGGCAAGCCTCTTGCCCTTTTCATCCATGATCAGTCAGGATGCTGCTGCTCCCAGTGTGGAAGTACAGAGCCGTGTTGTGTCAAACCAGGATCCTACATACAGTATGGAATCTATGAAAGTAAATGATGGACTGTGTCACCCAAAATTTACATCCAGAATACAAAAAAAATAAAGATAAATCACAGAATGTTAGAAAATCTTGGCATTCAAATTTCCAGCATTTGGATAACAGTGCTAAGAAAGATGTAACATTCTGCTATTCTTGCCAGTTGTTCTACCAGAAAAGTTTTACCTATAGGGGAGAATCATTTGCAAACCAAGAAACTCCTAATTAGAAAAAAATTATGGAAAATTTCAGAAAGCATGAAAAAAGTGACATGCATTTAAGGTCATTGCAGTTTTGGAGGCAATACCAGTTTTGTGATGAAGCTGTTCATAATAATGTGTCCCTCCATTCAAAACAGATTGAGGCAAATAGAAAGTACCTAAAACTTATCATTGAAAACATTTCTTGGAAAACAGTGTTTACTCTTAGAAGGAAATGGTCAGTCTATTTCATCTGTGAATAAAGGCAATTTTTTAGAATTGTTAGAGATTAGAGCAAAAGATAAAGGAGAAGTGTTTCAACTTTTGAGTTCACAAGTTGATTTCTATTTCTATGATAGTACACAAATCCAAAGTGATATTATTGACACTATCAAAGCCGAAATATTGCAGGATATTGTGAATGAGATCAATGAAGCCTCAGCTTTTTCAATAATATGTGAGGAGACATCCAACAGTGCCATTAAAGGACAGTTTTCCGAGTGTGTGAGATACCCACAGAAAACACCAAAGACTGTCTTAATTAAAGAAAGGTTCCTGTATTTTGTTGATATTGAGGAGATGACTGGGATTCATGTGCGCAGGAGTATCAAAAATTACCTGCAGCAAATTGGAGTTGATTTTAATAAAATATGTGGCCAAGCCTATGAGAGTGCCACAAATTCGAGGGTAAAATTTAATAAATTTGCAGGAGAATTCAAGAAGGAAGAGCCAAGAGCTTTGTATATACATTGTTACGCACATTTTTTTGAATTAACAGTAATTAGATTTTGTAAAGAAGTAAAAGAGTCCGGCAAGCTCTGAATGCACTCAGTTCTTTGTTCAACACTATTCATATGTCTGGAGAAATGTTGGCACATTTTCAAAACATTTGTAAGGTAAATCAAAACAAAACATGTTAAAAAACACACATCACAGTCATGTTGGACAGTTCATGATCATGTGTTACTGTCTGTGATTGGCAATCTTCCAGGGATTATTGAAACATTGCAATTTGTGTCAGGCGGGTCCTCAAGCACAGCTGTGGCTGATAAAGTAAGTTGTTGACATTGGTTTCCAAGTTTGAATTTATCTTTTGTTTGAAATTTCTTTATTGAGTGCTCGGTGTTACAGGAATTCTTTCCAGAGAGCTTCAAAGTCAAATCATAGATATTTTTTGTCTTCAAAAATAGAAGCAATTTTGGAATGTTTATCTTCTGAAAGAAACTATGTATATTTCAAAACTATATGGGATGAAGCAGAAGAAATATGTAAAAAAAAATAACCAGTAAAGGTTTTTAAACTATCTCGGTTAAGTGACCTAACCTAAGCTACTCCATTCTGTCAGAGAACACCCATTTCAGGTGTGTTCCCTTCCCTTGTTTGAAATACCCAGAAGGGAGAGGCTACGTGAGTTTCAAGAAATGGCCTAACCCGCAAAACTATAAGATATTCCATAAGTTCTAACCTAGACCCACACCTGGATAACTGCTTATCTTGCTTCTGTGAAGTTGCTTGGCTTGCTCAAACCCATGCCCGAGTGATAACCGAATGTAGAATGGAAAATTCAGTTTGCTGTGTTTTAATTTTTTGCTGTGCTGCATAAACCTGATTGGCCCACGGATGTCCTGTTCAAACCATGTCTTCTGTAATCCTATAAAAGCTCTGGTGTTCAGGGCTGCCTCTAACCCCGAAATAGACAGCCTGGTCCGCTGAAAAATAAAACTTTGCCTTGCTACTTTT